GCTGGGGACGCGCGGGAGGGGGAGACGCAGTCACACAGCGCACTGAGGGACACGCACACGCAAACACGTGTGCACAAACAGAACATTTACACAGCTGTCGATACACAGATACACACGTGCGCGCTCTCGCACGCACTAATGGGCAGGTGTCCCTGTGCGCACACACAGGTAACGTGCACACTCACAGACATGCACACCCTTCCACACATCTTCCACACGCATGTGCACACCCTAACGTGCACAGGCCCACACACATTATCACATACTAAAACAGACACACATGCACACGTTAACATTCACTAACACACACAGACATAGCTACACACTAATGTGCACACGCACACATGCATTAACAAACGTGCCCATACCGTGTGCATGTCCATGTGTACACACGCATACACTCACATGCACATGCCCACGCACACCTAGACAAGCACAAACAGGCTAACACATGCACACACACAGGCACACACTCATACACCCATAAAAGCATACACATACACTAACATACACGTGCCCGTATACTCTCAGACAGACACTCGTGCACATCCGCACACTGCCAGCCAGGCCCCCACAGGGGTGTGCACTGGCACATGTATGCACACATACACCTGGGCACAGGATCACACAAGACCTCACGGCTGCCCAGACCCACCGAGTGCTGCCAGGACCCCGTGTGCCAGCAGGGTGTGCGTGCGCGGCTGAGCACACCTGGGCACACCCCAGGGCTTGTTGTCCCTGGGGGAGGGATCCTCTCCCCACAGGGGCACATCCCTGAGTTTGGGAACACAGACTGCAGCTTTGGTGCCACTGCTGAGAACTGGAGAACTCACAGCGCGTGGCACATGGTGCCCCTGGGACTGAGCACCGGGTAAGACAGTGGAGACTCCGGGAAATGGCTCAGCTCCAGTGCCCACAGCACAGGCCAGGAAAGCCATGTCTCTGGCTGAACAACAATTCAGGGCAGGGGACAGCAATGTCACTATGAGGCCAGGGCAGCTCCTGGGAGGTGACACAAGTCAGGGTGGTCAAGCCAGGGCTGCCAGACCCCAAAGTCCAATGTCCCACTCATAGGGTGACCAATTACACCCAAGGCACAGGGAGATGTTACACTCCGGGGGTGGCAGCACCCTGCGGACAGGCTGTGCTGCCCAGGCCACCATCACAAGGTGCAATCAGCAGCCCCCACTCCTACGAGCTGCTGATCTCAGGTCAGCCTGGGTTGCTCTGTGCCATCTCCAGCATCCCTTTTGGAGCAGCTTGTCCACCCTGGCGTGATTCCAGCAGGGTCCCTGCAGTGTCCTGGAGGACATCTGGCATCCAGTGCCTGGCTGGTGCCAGGGGGTCCGGGCATCCAGCCATTCCTAGGCATTTCCACAGCCCTGCGATTTCTTTAGTAACAGCATAACAACCTGTCAGCGCGGCTCCTAATCACTGACACCCACTGTGCAGGATCCAAACATCCTGGGTCCGGCACTATAGGGAAATTCCATGGGAGCTGCTTATCAACCATGTAACAGAGCACGAGATAAGGCGTCACCCCGGAGTTCCCCTCTAACATGGGGTGTCTGCACAATGGGCTCCAGAGCCCTGTGAATAGGACTACTGGGGGATATTTGGGATTATTTGGGATGTTGGGATGTTTCTCACCTTGGCCACCAGCTCTGGGGTGTTTCAGAAATCACTGTCCTGTGTGCCTAGTGACACAAAGCTTCAGGGGACTTCATGGTGTGGGTTAGGGCCACATACTCTAACAAATGGTTGTTTGGGGGTAGTTTGTGCTGTGGTGCAGCTCTGGGGACAAATTGTCACACATAGCTGAGAAGCAAAGTGATGGGGATGGAGGTGGCATGTGTATTGTGCTGGGACCTTTCCCTGGGTCCTTCATCTCTCCAACCCCCAGACCCAGGGCACGTGTCCTGTGTGAGCTGAGGGACCCAAGGCAGTCACTGCCATCATTCCAGGAGGCCCCAGACGTAACTGTGGCCATTAAAGCTTTCCTTCAAGGAATTGATTGCGAAGGAAAGCTGGGAAGCATCACCTGGAAAGCCTGAAATGTCTCTGACCCAGCCCTGGCTGCCCAGTGAGGTCCTGGATGGGCGGTGGGCACAGGCAGGGGCTGGATGAGACCCGGGGTCCTCACCCCACCTTCCTGGCTCCCCCCCATGGGTGCCCTCCACCTGGACTATGAAAGGTTGGGGCGTTGGGGGGGAGAGGGCACAAATAAATATATTTTAATTTAATTTTCCTTTAATATGTAAAACTGTTGCTCTTGGCTCCTGTTACTGCAGCCTGGCCAAGAGCAACATACGGATTTTTGGAGTCAAGGGGCTCGTTGTAGAGGTGTGGCTGCCCCTAACCTCTGCTCTGCACCTTGGGGTGCTCCTCCCTCATCCACCCCACCAACCCCCAGGTACTCCTCGGTGTGCCCACGCCCTGCCTGAGCCCCAAGGAGCTTCCCGGAGCTTCATCTCACCCCAGAGGTATGCAAGGGATATCAGGAGGTACCACCAGCACCCCAAGCCTTGCCCTTACACTGCCCCACTGCCTGTGCCTGATGGAGAAGTGACCTGTCCCTGCCTGCTCGCACGCCTGGGTAGCGCAGGGACGGCGGGGAGGGGACAGTGCAGGAGTGGGGACATCCCGGCCACGAACAGAAGCCGAGATCTCCAGCAGGTCTGGGAGCCCCACAGTGAAAACAAGTACCTCAGGTAGAGCAACACAGAGATTTACGGTCTTGGAAGTGGCCTTGCGTTGTGGATCCAAGATCAATAGCAGAAAGAAAGGGCTCTCAGAACTGCTCAGGAATTCTGCCCGGGAAGCGGCCAGGCAGGCGAGCGGGACGGATCGCCGGAGCCCGGGAGCCTGTGGTTCCTGGCAGAGCTTTGCCCCATTTCCTTTCTTCCCGTCAACAGCGCCTGAAACCTGTGTGAGAGCCTCGGAAGGGGAGGGGATGAATGGAAAAAATCCACTGGCTGCCCCCCCCATACCCCGGGTACAGGAGGCTGCAGCAGCGCCCCTCTGTCCAGCCGTGGCATGGGGGACGCCGTTCTGGGAGGAAGGGCTTGGGGGAAGCTCTTGGCACCAGAGATGGGGACAGCCCTGGTGGGAGTCAGGGAGGGGCAGTGCAGGTGGGGTGGTATTGCAAGGGAAGGAATGGTGGAGGTGGGGAAAGGGTGATGGAGCAAGAGAGGAGGCAATGGATGTTGGGAGAGGGAGGGGAAAGAAGATGGGGAAATGGAAGTGGGTGAGTGATGGAGTAAGGAAGAGAGTTATGGAGGTGGGGAAGGAGCAGTAGAGTAGAGGAGGGGGTGATGAAGCTGGAGAGGGGGGCACCAGAGCCTGGGAGAGGTGATGGAGCAGAGAAGGGAGCAGGCAAGGGAGGAGGTGATTGATCCAAGGAGGAGGTAATCAACTTGGGGAAGGGGTCAGCAGAGCAGGGGAGGGGGCATTAGGGCAGGGGAGGATGTATAACGGCAGGGCATCGGAAGATGGAGTTGGGCAATGGATTCAGGAAGAGGGTGGTGTAACTGTGGCAGGACTGTGGGTGCTGCTTTGCCCAGCCTTGGCCAGGGCAGCAGGACTTGTTGCAAGGAGGTGGGGGGCTCCATGCCATTATTGCCCTTGCCTCTGTCCTGATGAGCCCCCAGATCCCGAGTGGTCCCAGTTCCCACCAGTGCCTGGCTCATAGAGAGAGGCATGGGCTGGGGGCAGGGAGAGGAATCCACGAGGACAGGCCATGTCCATGTGAGCCAGGGCTCTGGGCACCCTGTGCCCTACCTGCCAGCTTGGAAGCAGGAAATGGCACAGTCCTGCAGGGGTCTGGGAGGGATAATTTTCCCTTCCTGAAGAATTTCACAGGAATTGCTGTGCAAAAGGCCAGCGGCTTCAGTTTCAAAAGGATGCCAGTGCCAGGCCGGATGGGCTGGTGAGCAGGTGGAGGGGTCCATTCTGGGAGCAACCCATGGGGCTGTGGACTGGCACCCACCCAGCCAGAGAGGCAGATCACCCCTGTCCCAGCCACCATCTCCTTGGGGACACCAGGATCACCACGAGTGATCCTCAAGCCCAAGCTCCTCCTGCCCCAGGCACAATCCTGTGTGATACCAAGGCACACACATGTGCAACAGACTGTGCCCACCATAGGACAACTGTTCTCTGTGCCCTGGGCAGGTTCCGTGCCATGGGCAGGTGGAGTAGAGGAGAAAGATGGGGATTTTGGGGTCTGATCCCCAAATAAGCAGGTGGAGAGCAAACAATGTCCCCAGGCAGTGTCCCAGTCACCTCCTGGCCTCTGGTTCTCTGCAGGTATTTGTGGTTACAACCCAGCCCACAGTGCAAAGACACTGTGGCCAGGAGTCAGGGATGCAGGCTGACACGTGTGACATTACCAGGGATGCTCTCTGCAGCCTTGTCAACCCATCACCCCCCAGCTGGGGA